GAACATTCATATTTATATATTTGAAAACAAATGGAACAACATTTTCTAAGTTCCCAAGATGCGTTAAAACATTGTATCTTAAAATAGCTCTAAGTGCAACTTTTTCAAAAAATTTTCGAAAAATTTTAATTTGACTTTTAAACATCATAAAATTATCAATAACGATCGGTCCGATGTGATATTTTAGAATGTTATAGGAATCATTTCGTTAAACATTTTCTCACTAATATACAACATTGATTTGCTTAGTAAAAAAATGAGTATTTGTATTACCAATTTACCCGATTATTTTCACGGATCATCAAGTGAGTCGATACTTTTTTTAGGGGAGTGTATTATTCTCTCTTGATGCTACCTCCGCCTGCATCACTTTGGAAGCTTCCCAGATTTTTAATGATATTACTAAGAGGTATTTTTTTGTCATTGACCATTAAATACGAATCTTTTTTTTTTGAATTTCCCTATATTTTTATTATTTAAAGATGTAAAATTCAAACAAATAAAGAGAACTTTTTTTATAATTTTACAACAATAAAATTATCAGTGTTAAGTAAATATCTAAACATTTGTAAATAATTGTGATGATTATTTGAATGTCAACACAGTCTATCACAGGCAACTGTGTATAGGAATTTAGATGAGAATAATTTGATTAGATACCCTGATAATTTTTCATACTTGAGTTGTCTTTTCAAATTCCTTATTTCTAAACTTATGATAAGTTTTTAGTTTTGGAAGACAACTCTATTTCATATGTAGTAAATGACAGTAATTTTATGAATAATAAATTTGAGACATTAACTATATTTATTCATATCTCTTAAACAGTCAAAGTATTCTTTAATGATAACACAAAATAATTTTTTGATCATGACCTTGCATTCTTATTGGTCAATTTGACGATATGCAAAGTCAACAACTTTTAAGGGTATATAGTTGTAGTAGTAGGGAGAATCACGCGGAAATTGTGTTACGCAGGTCATATGAAAAATTCAGATCAGCCAATGGGAAGATCCGCAGGACATATAAAATTTCAGGTGATGTCACATGATTCCCTACCTTAAAGAAGGTTTTATGAAAACCATAAGGACAACAACCGAATTTTATTTACAGATCAATCAGCTGAATCTCAAAGATCATGTTTGTATTAGGAAGTGATACCCTCAGAAAAAGTTTTTTTATAAAAGAAAAAAAATTCAGCTATCAATAGCTGAAAAACTGTTTAAGGGATATTATTACTATTTATTATTATTATTAAACTAGAATCTGCCTTTTTAGTTGAGTGAATTTTTGCTAAGGTTGCTTGCTGAAACCTCTTAATGACTGCCAAAACTCTAACAAACAATTAGAATGCAACCTGCTGAAACTCTGCCAATTGTCAAAACCCCCAAATGTGAAACCCTGCTGATACTCTAATAAGCAATTAGTGTGTAACATGTCAAAACTCTGCTGATTGATTCCTGTAGGTGTTTTGGCAAGCAACCATAATTTTGACACGAAAACTAACTACAGTCATACCTCTTTTATATCCCCCTTTATTTATACTCCAACCTCAATTAAATCCCACATATAAGCTTGACAGATTTCCCTATATTATTTTAATATAAACTTTATACTTCAATTGGATTATACATGATATACATGTGTAACCTATCATTTATGTAATTTTTTGATGGTGACTTGGTTGATTGAAGAAATTAATTTATGAACTATTCTTTTTTTTTGGTGGAAACTTGGCTGGTTCCTTAATAAACAACAAAGAAATGAATTATGAGTTATTCTCTTTTTTTTATGGCAACTTGGTTGATTCCTTTAACAACAAAGAATTGATTAAGATATTATAACAACTGAATTGCCTACTAATGAAAATATTTTCTCATTTCACAAACTGAAGATGTTGAAATGTAAAAGAAAGAGGAAATGAAATGAACCAGTTATTTCTATAGAAGAAGGAAGGAAAACATTTGAAAATGCAAAAAGATTCTTGGAACAACAAGAATTTGCTACAAAAAAATGTTAAGTACGTTAGTGAATTAGTTCCAAACGGGTCTGGTTTCTTATATTTCGAGTTGGGTCATAAATTTAATTTAACATCACTTTCTAGAAATTTAATTAAAAATTTTTTTTTTTTTTGATAAAAATAAATTGGTTGAATTGCAACCTCCTAGTTGCAAAGCCATCTTTTACTCTAGGCTAAATATAAATAATCAATTAAAATCATTTAGTTGACTATTAATTGATCAAAAAAAATTTAGTCAATTATATTAGTAGTCAACTATTTTAGTCAAATAAAATAGTTGATTCCAACCTCTAGGTTAAACTATGGCATACTAAATCTTACTAGCAGTAAAAAAATAATAATAAAATATTATTATTTAATTGTTACGTGCTGAAGAAGCTGCATGTGTCCTGTAATATGTTTAAATACAAATAAGTATTTTAAAAATCTACTTTAGTAAAAATAATTAATAACAAGAAAATCACTAATTTATTTTCCATCTACCTGGTCAATTTACATTATTCTTTATATATATTTATGTATGGAAGCCAAATACCATTAATTTTTAATTTGTGATGGTCTTTTTTCAAAAATCTAATTAGGATTTTTATCATTAATAATTGATTGATTCAATTTTTCGTTGCCCACTTCTTTAAAAATCAATCAACAAGTTTTCAAAAATACCAGAAATGGCAAAGAGTCTCGTTCGAAAAAGCTTTGGGGCTGAATTCCTTTCACTAGGCAACTTACAACCAATTACTTGATATTCACGTAACTAACTTTTGCCACGAAAGAAAAAATTTAATAGTAATTGGGGATACCATTACCAATAAAGATGTACCCTAAAATTTCGTATTTAACAAAAAAATTTTTTTTATTTTGGTTATATGCTTTAAAATAAAAATGTTTGCTATTAAGGTTGCCCGCCCAGCTGTGGTCAACACCACTTGGAGGTTTGTGGAGAATAGTTTTCAGTACAACAAAGTTTATTTGTTAATTGAAATAATAGTATTTATATTTATTATGACAATTGAATTCCAACTTAAAGTGTCATAGGCCAAAATAGAAATTTCGCTACATTAAAAGAAAGTATGTTATTTTTTTTAAATTAAATGTTTGTTTTTATAATTATTTGATTATTTATATAATAATAATAATTAGATAATAATTTTACTAAAATGTTTTGTTTTAATAAAATTATTTTTAATAGTTCAATTAAGATTAAAATCTGTCAATAGTATTGCAAAAGTATATATGATTAAATATATAAGCGAATTAAGTATATATATTGATTTTATTATTTTATATAGATAACGAAATCTATGAAAATGATTGCATCTACAAAAATGACCAGGTAATTTTATTTTATTATTGATTTTTTAATCTTTTTATTTTGATGAATAATACCTTTTCGATAAAAAAAAAGAGCACAAAAGGCCATGGAAATTGCAAGAGTTTTTGGATCTACTCAAACATGTAAATGTTATAATGACAATTTTATTACTTGTAAAATTATTTAATTAATAACTTAATTATCTTTTTAGCTCTTTTTACTCATGCTGATACCAAACCTACCGAAGAAGGAAATACTCTTGTAGTTACTGTTTCATCAGATCGTGGTCTTTGTGGTGGGATTCATAGTAGTGTTTCAAAGGCTTCTCGTAAATTGATTGATGAAAATTCTAGTTCTCAATTGGTGGTTCTTGGTGATAAAGCCAAAGCACAACTTGCACGAACAGTTCGTGATAATATTAAACTTTCATTCAATCAAATTGGTAAAGCTGTTCCTACGTATGCTGAAGCATGTGCTATAGCTGACACCGTCTTAAAGGAGAAGGTAGAATTTGATCAGGCAGTTATTGTTTATAATCATTTCAGATCAGTAATTGCTTACGAAGCTGAAACAATTCCAGCTTATTCAGAAGCAACCTTTGTTAAATCAGGTATATATAATATATAATATATAATATTTATATATAATTGATTGGATATAATGATAATTATTATTTATTATCATTATTTATTATTATAGGCAATTTTGCAACATATGAAATTGAAGATGATGTTTTGGAAAACCTTCAAGAATTTGCATTTGCAAATTCAATTTATTGGGGACTTGTTGAAGGACATGCAGCTGAAATGGCTGCAAAACGAACTGCTATGGAGAATGCTACTAAAAATGCTGGTGAAATGATTGACAGATTAACATTAACATATAATCGTGGTCGTCAAGCTGTAATTACTAATGAATTAAGTAGTTATCTTTTTCCTTTACTTTTATTAAATTTGTTATTATTAAATTTGTTACTGTAAACTAATTAAATTTTTTTTATAGTTGATATTATTACTGGAGCTTCTGCACTTTAAAAAAGGAACATTTTATAAAATTAATAATAATAAAGTTTTTAAATTAATAATAATAATAGTAGAATAAATTGCTTATTTCAAATTAAGAAAAAAATTTTTTTTGGCACATTTCTTCATACTTGGAGTGTGGGAACCTGAAAGATCTTTAGGAAGCCATTAATTTGCCATAAAAAAGCAAAAACGCTAGAAGAGATAAAAATTTATCATTTTGTTTTCACGGCTCATTTTTAATGAGCAAAGCTAGAATGAATTCTGAAATTATTATTTTTTTAATTCAATGAGATAAAGCACAATATAACACTTTGACCTTTATTTATTAAGTGATGTTTATTTGTGATCTAATTATTTTTTTGGAATGACCTACTTGTTGAGGATTGCTCACCAATTGACATTATAGCCTTTGTTAAATTAGTGCTATTTTGAAAATAAAGAAAGATTTCAGTTAATTCTCTGGGAAGAACAGAACAACCGAATTTTATCTATTTAGAGGGAACAACAAAATGAGGATTTTAGTCTAAAGTTACTTGCAAGTTGGCTCATACAGAGCTTTATTTTAGTCACAAAAATACAACGTATACATGTCCCATTTTCAAATCTTGATTTGTTTGATGTGTACACAGTCGAGTATTTTTATCAAATTTGGAAACCGAGTCTAGAAAAAATTGGGAGCATCTTTGTCGATCAGTTCATATGAGTTAATATATGTTTTAAGAACCCTCCAAAATCCACGCAATTTTACATGCTAGTTTTTTTTTTTTTTCTTACATATAGGAGAATTATTGACCTAAAATCTCTTTTTGACAACTATTACATATAAAGCAAATATCCCAAAAAACTAGTTGAATATACTGTTTTCCAAAATTATCGTTATTATTATTATTTGTTTATAATAAATAAATAAATAATTAAATAATTATATATATATATATAAATGCGAATATAAAATATTAAAACGAGACTATATGGGTCACATGTCCGACACACAATTGGACGGCAAAATCCGTTTTATTTATATTTATATTAATATAATAATAAAGCTTTGCTCATAGATTTTGACAACTTAAAAGTTTCGCCCATAGTTTAGGATTTCTCCCATAGTTTAGGCAATTTTTAAGTTTCGTCACTAGTTTAAGAGCCTAAATTCCTTAATTTCTGTGGGCGAAACGATTTCGGATTTACTAAAATAATTTCAGCTACCATCATTAATAATTCATGATGTATGAATTAACTCAAGCTTTAACCATTTATTGCATGAAACTCTTTAATTTTTGATTTTTAATGTAATATCAATGTTTAATAAGCCAAAAAGGTTTTGTTAGATAATAAATTGTCATGAAACATGCTTGCACCACGAATTGAGTCTTGCATCTTGATCACGAATTACATATTGCGTCAGTTGTATAGAATTATGTTAGGTGGTGTTGGGACTTTTAATCGCAATTCAATAATTTTGACCTCAAGTAAAATTGTGCATGTCATAATAATACATCCACTTTTTATACAGAGGGTCAAATTTCATTTGTAGCTCCACAGATCACGCGTGAAAAAAAATAGAGTTTATTTTTGTGTGCTCTTTGAATTTTCATGATAGATCAATATCCTTATAATTTTTTCATATTATTAGTCAGTAATCAAAATAAAATTCACTACAAAATATGGATACATTTCTTTAGAATTAGCAGAATCACTATTATCCCTAAAAAAGAAATATTTAATTAATCATTAAGTTATTTATGTTTCAAATCAAATAGTTAATAATCTCTCACTCAATTTCATTATCTTCTAATTTTTTTTGTTTGGCTGCACAGAAATTTAACTCATGTCAATTTTAAAAAGACCAATTATTATTTTGGATGTATTACTGTGACACGCACTGTACTAGTACAGTTTTCAGGTTTTTCGGTTCGATACTTATTTGAACGCTGTTTTTTTATTTCTATCATTAGTAGAAAATAAAAGGTTAGACAATATAATATTAATATACGATTAAACTTTCAAGTGGACTGATTATAGTAGTGTTGATCTTACCAAATTAATAACTGGTGATCGATTTTTTTACTTTTGATAAGATTAAACGCTACTATAATTGGTATAAATCACAATTATTACATTGCATCAAGAAAATGATACAGTGAGGGAGGATTGGGTTTGAATTATTTCTACTATAACTAAAAAGCGAATTTTATTATTTTGTGGATCTCAAAATTTTAAATATTGTTCTTGGAATTACTCCATTGTAACTACATTTGTATCTTATACAATTATGTGAAACACCCATTAATATAAATAAATAAAACATTGTTATGGTACGGGTCATTCTCTAACACATCAAATGCCTTTAGAGCTAAATAGGGAAGTATTGAGATAAGATTTGATAGCTATTATCGAGACAATTTTAAAAAGATTTTACATAAACAAATGTTTCGAATTTGGAAATTTTTATATGTGACTTATAAAATCATACGATTTTTAAAAGCAAATAACAGTAAATTTTTTTAAATTACCTCGATAATGGATTGTAGGACTAGTCAATCAATAACTATCAAATATCGTCTCTATTTTTTTTCAATATTTCCCTATCTAGCTTTGAAGTTGGTCAACTTTTATTTGATGTGTTAGTGTGACCCCCACACTATACTTATTAATTCTTATTATATACTGTACATATTTATTAAATGAGTTGATTAAAATGGATGTCAATCTTCCAATCAATAAAAATGCCATATTTTACATTTATTATTATCTGTAAAGTCTTTCTTAAAAGACTCTCTCTCAAATAAGCCTCATAAGCATTCAAATTCGAATAGAAAATAAACATTGCTCTACTCTTACCTTTGCAATTTCTCAAAGTTGTAAAATATTAAAAAAATTGATATTGTAAGAAATTACCGCATTAAGGACTTTGCTCCTAACAAAATTTCATGGATATCGACCGCCACCAGATTTCACAAGTTTAAACAACAATATGTTCTTGGATTTACATCTAATAGTAAAAGTCTAATTGAAAATTATAATAAAAATATATATTTCTTTAATAGAGTGAAAGTTACTATTTAATTTCCTTCGCTTCTAGTAAAGTCCAAGAAAATTAATCCCACCTAGATGTTAAAAGTAGAAACTATATTTTTTTTCTATTTTACGCACAACTATTGAAGATGCCCCTAGACTAGTGTTGGATCCTAAATTATGGAATTCGCAACTGCGCGAAAGTTAAAAAGTTTCGCCATAAGTCGGAACTAGTTTTGAGTTTTGACGTTCCCTAGACAATGTGGAAATACCAAAAAAAATGAAAATGATCCATTTGATTATCGGGAATCTATTTACAGATATTGAATATTACTTCAATGCTCGAATCTTATATTCTTAGCATACGTAGAGCCATTACGCCTCAAGGATATGATAACGCAATTAAAATTTCGCATGGCCTGGGATTTATTAATTGCATAGCCTGTTAAAGCCTCTCGCTTGTCCGAAACCTACTAACTTGTAGATTTCCTCATCCGTAGAAAAAGTTTCTATAGTTATAAAAGTGTAAAGCACACTGATTGCATGTTTGTAGAAGGAAATTTTATTAAATCTGACACCTATTATCAATATCAGGTTTATTTTTTTGAAAATGATTTTTAAAAAAGTTCTATAAAACAATTTTCGGAATATCGATTTATTTATTATTTATTTATTTATTTATTTATTTATATATTTATTTATATTTATATATTAATATTTATTTATTTATTGATTTATTTATGGTATTATTATTACCGGGGCGATGCAATTATTTATTATGAATAACAAACATTGACGACAATAGTGAAGACAATAACAAGTCATGTTTTGTTTATTTTGATTCATCTAATACATAGAAAAATACACAATAATTTATATAAAAAATTACCAGGGCAGTTGCACGTGAAGAAAATACTCAAATCTGAGGTCATTCTGGCGCAAATTTATAATTTTACTTGCTTTTTTGCCAGTAATATAATTATTAATTATTATTAATATCATTATTTTCTCCTTCGTCATCATCCTTTTATACTAATCCATTTCTAAGTTGCTTCTATTGTTTTTTTTCCTAGGATCTGTACAAGTTTTTTACGTTGAAATCAGCAATTCCTGAAATGCATGGAAAAGAAAGTTGCCATTCTATTAAATGAAAACTCGGATTCTTTATTTGTTTGTTCTGTATCCTTTTATAGGAGTAGTTCTTTGTAGGTTGTTGTAATGAAGCAAAGCAGCCGATCAATAATCTATAAAAGAATTCATCTGTAAAGGCATGCATTTTATTTCAAATTTATCCTCACTGTAGTAGCATGCTCCATATAAGGTAAATATTCAAAGCCATGTATTTATTATTATTATTATGTAAAAACAGGGTCCAAATATGTACATGCGTCATGATTCCAATTTTGTGGCATAGACAAAAAGTGAAGTTACACGTTAATTACTATTATTTGCCTAGTTTGTCAACATTGACTACACAGTCTATATAAAATTCTTCATGCATTTTTATTTGCTCACCAATAAACTCTCTTTTATTATTAACTTTTATACCAAAAAAAAATTTTTGAAAACATCATGAAACATTATAAATACTAACTTTATTCTTTCATTTAAGACAAAAAGACTTTTGTTTCAAAAAAAAAAATTTATTTTATATTTTATTTATTCCCTCTAATCAAACTAATTAATAAATCAAAAATCAAAAATCAAAAATCAAAATCAAAAATCAAAAAATTAAAAATAATAAATAAATGTTTAACACAAAAAATTCGTTACTAGGAAAGAAAACAAGTAAATCTTCATCCAAAAAAGGAAACAGTTTAAGAAGAACTTTAACTCCTACCACAAAAAAGCAATATCAGAGGGACCTAGCTCAAACTGTGACTTTAGAAGAAGTTCACCTAATTGTTAAAAGATGTGCTGATAAAGTACGTGAAAGAGGTTAGTTAAGTTCTTTATTTTTATTCATTTATGTTTTATTAACAATTATTTATTTATTTATATAAACGACAACTTTTTACATTCTTATCATAAAGGTTTACATGTTGTGGATATATTTAAGCCGATGCACATTGGCGATAACGCCAATGATGTCAGAAGACTTATAGGTTGTTTATTACGTGAAACTCGCGCACAATGTGATGAAGAACTCGGAAAATTGGATATTCATATTATAGTCTCTGCTATGAAATGGGCTTTAAGACATTGTGTTACAACTATTGTCCCATATCAATTCTACGAAGAATTTGTAATATTTGAACAAGGTAATTATAATAATAATAAAATAATACACGAAGGTCATATAAATATAAACTGTAAAATATTAAATATTAATAAATTAATAAATTTCTTTTTTTAATTATAGAATCTGATTTTGATCCAGATAAAGGTTCATTCAAACAATTTCTACGCTATCTACCAAATCAAAACAGAGATATACTTGTTGAACTATTTGATATTTGTGCACAGGTAACTGCTGAATCACACATAAACAATATGTCAGCTGAACGCTTAGTTAAGACATTGGCCCTTTGTATTCTGGGCAATCAAGATAAGCCACTTGAAGGTTTTGAAGAAGCCTATAACGAGTGGTCAAAATGTTCTCAAGCTTGTCTACACTTATTCCTGGCTTATCTTCGTGAGAAAGCTGTCACTACCGAATTAAACCCACGTCTCACTATCTTGATAGACAATTATGTTGAAGATAGAAAAAAATCTGTCACATCTGTCTACTTTAAAGCTCCTAATAATAATGATAGAGATGATGGAAATTATGATAACAATATACAACGACCAGAAACTTTGAACAATAAATCTAAAATAGTTAATAGGCCCAGAAACAAATCTATAGTTACTTTTGCTGAAAAAACTACTGAATTCAAAACACCAGGGAAAGTTCCACTTTCATTAATGAATAATAATAACAACAATAATGGTAATGATGATGATAATAATAATAATAATAATAATAATAATGGTAATAGATTTACTAAAAATTATTCTGGGAACAGGCCTGTAAGCATATTAAAAGTAACAAGAGAAATTCCAACAAGAAAATCAGAAGTTAACCGACAAACGCGTAGCTTTACTACACTACTTCCTGATATTATGGATAATATGAAACGTAAAACAATAATAAGACCTAGTACAATTATGACAGTTGCGGAGAAAAAATCAGCCGAGGAAATGTGGGTAGAATTTCAGGATAAAGGCATTGGAGCATTATCTGACGATTTTATAAAGCTTTTTTTTTCATTAGAATCTCGTGCCGCAGAAGTCAAACTATCACCAAGTCGTACTGAAAAACAATGGGGTTCTTTTAGCAAAAAAGGGTTTCAAAGTTTATATTTGGAGCCTTTATCAGAAACCAAAAATAATGAAAAAGAGTCTTTATTAGTAAACGCTTCATCTTCAATGGAAAATACTAATAATGATAATGATAATAATAATGAAGATGGTTCTTCAAATAATCTTGTCAGAAATGATTCTGGCGTTTCTTTAAGACAAACTGTTGTTTGGGATAGTTTTTCTGAAAAAGGTTTTGAAGAATCAGATGTTTTATCTTTAGTTTCATCACTTGGTCCAGAAACTTTAATCAGTAAAAATGACGTTGATAAGGAAAATCATAATGATGGTGGTGGTGATGATGGTGACAAACAATCCGTTGGGAATGAAAAAAAATCCATATTACGTGTTAGCTTAACAAATAGTTTTAGAGGCAAAAAGAAATTTGTTAAGTTTCGTTCCTTAAGAAGAACTAGATCTTTAAGTCCAATCAAAAGGTTAGCTGCTTTAGATTTAGAAGAAGATTGGGAGGATTGGGATATCATTGATAGAAGAGAGGATTTACCTATTACAACTCATTTGGCAATTGAAACAATTGATGAAATCTTCCCTTATGTATGGATGGAAACAACTGTTGAAGATGAGGGTGATAAATGGGGTGATTGGATATTTATTGAACCAAGAAGTGGTTTAATACACGAGTGTGAATGGGTTATGATTGAGGAGAAGGCTCAGGTTTTCTCAGAATGGGAGAAATCTTTTTCATATTCAAGAAGAAGAAAATTGAGTGCTCTCAGTACATTTAGTATACCATGGGTTAGACCTGGTGCTGCTGGTAAAAAATCAAGACCTGTCAGTAAAGCAAGCACTAGATTTTCAGTGGCCTCAACAATTAGAAGACCTGTACCTGCAATAATGGCAATGTTTGATAGATCAAGACCTGATGATCAAGTGTTTGCCACAAATTACAAGTTTCCACCAAATGCGATTAAAAAATATAAAAAAGAAGAAAATGAGTCTGAGGAAATTAGTGTTTCACGCAGGATACACAATAATGATGATTCAATTGTTGTACAATTCGAAGCTACAAAAACCAAACATTCTCAAGTTCAATACACATATAAAGAAGGGGATTACAATGAAGAAAATGGTTATTATGATGATGAGTATTATGAAGATTATGATAATAATGTTGATGGGTATTTATCAGATCCTGAATATTATCACAATAACAGTTACAATAATAATAATAGTTATTATTATAATAACTATGAAGAACAAATGGGTTATGAAGAAGGTTATGAAGAAGGCTATAAAGAAGATTATGAAAAAGAAAATTACAGTGAAGGATATTGGGAGGAAGATGAATACGCACAATACTATCCATCAAAAGAATCATCAGCAAAAAATTCACAATATTCAGAAAATGGTTATATTAATCAATATTCACAAAATGATATACCACAACTACCTTCAATTACAAAAGGATACAATAATTTTGCTCAGAGACAAATGATGAAACAAGGTGAATTAGTACCATCACATTATCAGCAACAACATCAACAGCCATTGTCGACTAGAAATAGCAACTATAATGATTATAATGATGATGGTGAAGGCGAAGGCGAAGATGAAGATGAAATCATTGTGGAAGATAATGCTGATGACATGGAACCACAAATAGTTAATCCAAAATTATTCCCAATGACAGGATTTTATCAACCTTTAGAAACTAAAAATAAAAAAAAAATAAACAAAAAGACAAAATTTAAATTTTAAATTATAAATAATCACCACAAAAAGGAGAGATTGATTTTAATAATAAACTTATTTGCATTCATATACATTATTTTTTTATATTTTTTTCTCATTAAGCATACATACACACACATTACACATACACATATACATATACATATACATATACATATATATATTAATACATTATTTATACTTTATCATAATAGTTAATTATAATATAGTAGATATTATTAATAGAATATTTATTAAGATATTGTAGGACAATATTCTTTTCATTAGTCAATAAATTTTTAAAAATTTTTTTTAATGATTTAACCTGTGTTAATTATTTTATTTATAACTTTGCAAAAATCATCTGCAAATTTTGTCTAATTTTTCTATGAAGGAATTGTTGCAATAGTTCAAGGAGAAGAAGCAATTGATGATTCGTTACTGAATTTATGGTAACTAACTATCAATATTTTTTTATTTTAATAAACATTTTCCCACTCATTCTATTTTATTTCATTCTATGTAATTTTATTGGACGGAATAATGTAAAAAGTCATGTTATCTGTAATACTCCAAGTATTTAATTAAACCATTAGAAATTGCTCGAGTTAAAAAAATAATCTTTGAATAAACAACTAATAATATCATTAATTTTTGCATAGTTAAAGAGGGAGAGCCCTCACGAATTGTTCCCATGATCCTTTCTGATTGTTAATGATCTGTCCAACATTTAATTATTAGTTAGGAACCCTTTTGATTGTGCTGTGTTGCTTGTGGGGACGCCTCAAGTGGCATAGTTGTATATAAGTCTGTAATTTATTCAATGATTGATAGCTAGCTTTATAGAGGTATATATTGGGTTTGGAGCCAGAACAATATATATATTTAGGGTAAAGTCAGATTGTATCTGACCGGAGGGGGTCTGAAGAATATAATAGGTCATTATATTGGGCTTGGAGCCAGAAAAATATAATGTGGAAATGCTCAGAGGCTGGTAAATCTTTTGATGGTGATAAGGGGACAAAACTTCTCTATGAACGAGGTATAAAGGCTTTGAAGATGATGAAAGATATGTTCCAGTCTCTATGTTTAGCTGTTGGGATGGAAGAAGAAAAAAAAAAATAAGAAAATTGCAATCAATTGGTTTTATACATGTGGGTAGGTTTGGTGGAAGGATTTTTTTCACATTGTTTAGTTTATTAACTCATCAAATAATTCACTGTGAAGGAAATTTAGGTCTGATGATACTGTTACTCAGATTGGATTCTCCCGCTGGCTATGTATGTCGAATACTTCGGATCAGGGTTGGCAAATTGACTGGTCCATTGAGATTAAATATAGTTGAAATGTTACACTAATGTACCCAATGGACTACACATTTGCCAACTCTGAATCATAGTTTAACAGGAAATTTTATTGGTAAAAACGAATTTCAATGATGCAATTAATCAAACTTAATGATAGTAAATAATACGGTTTTTACACATTTACATTATTATTATTTTTTTTTTACCTTTTTCTTTTTAGTTGCAAATAATAAATGTATACTGTAATTTAGCATAGATTAAATTGCATCATTAATAAAGTATTGCTTATGAGCAGAGAGACTTTGATTCATGTTGGATGATATTAGCCGGCTAAGGAATATTTTGCGAATTGCATATTTCTTTGATTAATGCAATAGTCTATTTATTAGATTTAAAATAAATGAACTTAGCTGTTTCTTTGTATTTTTTTTTTTTTAATAATAAAGATAATTCTCTTCCCGTTCATCTGGAAAATTCACGTGACAAAAGATCTGCAATATAAGGGAAATTTTTCAAATTTTTATTTTGATAAACTTTTTTGTAACACGTCATTTTAGGGCTAAACAGTAAACCGGTGCAAATTTGAAGCTCAAATTCTCCACAACAACATGATATATCAATGAGATGAAATCGTGATTTTGTAGAGGAAGGTCTTGGCTTCAAATACACGATTTATTTTGGGATGTTGCATTTCCATTTTTGGAGAATTTGAAAATCTACACGACCAATAAAAAGTTGTGGGACTAAGTGACGAAAAAATATATATATATTAATATTAATAGGTTTTCTGAACCAAATTTTTGGAAATCTGGAAATAATGTAGTTGATCATTTATTCAACAATATCAAATGGGATCGATCATCTTTGTTAACTCATATTTTAGAATGGATACCTTTTGAGCAATTTGAAGATATAACAAAATTAGCCGAAGTTCAATTTATACTGCTGGATGGACAAGATGTTCATATGATTGATTATGATGAAAATAACAAGGAATTTAATTATTTAGAAGCACAAAGAGTAATATCAAAAAGTTTAAATAATTCAATGAATCCAGGAAAGGGCTTTTTTTATGAGGTTGGTGGTTGCCATTTGAAATAAAAATAAACAATTTTGTATTATATAATAATAATTGGTTTTATATTTATTTTCAGACAATGAATTATTGTAAAATTAAATCAGGAACAATTGTTTCTTGCCATGGTATAACTAAGTTCCCAAATAATGGCAATTATGCAATAGTTTTAAATTATTATAGAGAAGGAAATTTAAGGGATTACTTCCAAAAAAATCATTTACATTTAACATTAAAAGACAGAATTATAATATTTAGATATTTATATGGTGCATTACATCAAATACATTGAAAAAATTTAACCATTGTGATTTACATAGTGGTAATATATTAATAAGTGGAGGTGGTTGTTATATTACAGATTTGGGATTATGCAAATTGGTTGATGAAAAATCATCAAATAAAATCTATGGGATCATATCATATGTTGCACCCGAGCTACTCAGAGGCAAAATTAATACAAAGAACACAAAGGCAACAGATATTTATAGTGCTGGGATGTTAATGTAGGAAATATTTGCGGTCATCCACCATTTGATGATAGAGCTCATAATCGTTGTTTAATTTTTGATATATGTGAAGGCTTACGGCCACCAGTATTACCTGAAAAATGCCTGATGATCATGCACAAATGATGAAAAAGTGTTGGGATGCAGATCCATCTGAAAGACCAACTAGCAAAGAGCTTGTTTTTTTTCGCTAATAAAAAGTTGAAAGGAACTCATACAACCAAAAGTTTGAAAAATGATAGTAACAATAATAGCTTAATAAAAAGATTATTAAAATTTTCTAAATTTTAATAATGATGGTAGCAGCAGCAACAGCAGCAATGGTGGTAGTGGTGATTCGCAACAAGTACACAAATCACATTCAGATGCATATCATATTAGATAAAGAAATTGCTAAATCAAAAAGCTTAAAAAGCTATACAAGTAATGATGGTTCATTGAATAATCTTGATTTTAACTCTTTTTCTAAAATGTTAAAAAAGGTAAATTAAGTTTTTCATTAATTGAAGTTTATTAACTACTAATAAGATTATTTATGATTCACTTAATAATAATAGTAATAAAAACCATCTTGCATAAGCTGAATTGATAAACCGATTCTATTTTTGTGTTTCCCAAAAGTTCGACTTACTCAAGGTTTAAAAATCAAAAGATTGCCCTTATAAAGAATCTACTGTTTATTTTTAATTATTTATTTACAGGTTATATATCACACCATTAAACCGCCATCTTCTTTCTAATGGATGTGACTATTACAACTTAAATTTTGAAAACTACCATTACTAAACAACTGTTGCTGGTACTTAGTGCCATATCTCAAGATTTATTTTTTATTTACATTCTAATAATAATAATTTTTGACGTATAATACAAAAAAAAAGTTTTTTATTAATTAATAATGCAAATATATATATACATATACATATACATATAAATATAAATATACATATATATATACATATATAAATATATTAATTTATTAATTTAACGTGACTGACAATTTAGTATAAAAAATACGTGTGATATAATTAATGTGCAGTGAATTCTACTTCTTGAAAAGTAAACCCTTCTTCAAAGGCAGTAGATAGATCTGGGTAATCATCTGAAAAAAACTCCATGCAATGATGAAATATCCTAAATCCAATCTCTCGAATAAAATTATTTTTACTAGTAAATTTTTTTGATGTTTTTCTTTTTTCTAGGTCATAGTTTTCCAACATTTTTTTGGTAATATCACGTTCACTGAAATTTTCCTCTTTTTTATAATATTTGTGATATACAAGTAATCGTTGAATTTTCACTGATTTTGACATATCTTTTGTAAGAAGGCCTTCTTTCTCTGTAAATTTAAAATAATTTTTAAAATCTTTAGGTTTCCAATCTTTAACACAATCTTCAATGTTATCCATAATAGGTATTTCAGAATTTGATTGTATCGGGTCTTCTTTGGAACACATCAATGACAATTTTGTAGAAAAATCAGATTTCTTTTTTTTCGAATGAATAAGTTATTATTACCAAGTAATTAATTTTAAAAATGAAATAATAATTATTCTTAAAAAATATATATTTTAACCTACCAACAACACTTCAATCAATATATCAGGTTTTGTATATTTTACAAAAGAATAAATCAATATGGAAAGTCGAATTCGTAATTGTATGTCTGATGTGTTGACAAAGCACCTTAATAGTATGGGTAATATTAACGCGGCAAATAATTTTTGAGCTTTAATGAATTTATTATCTTGAAGTTTACTGTTTGTCCAATAATCACCAAATTGATCAACAGTTTCTTTCTCATCTTTCTCATCTTTCTCATCTACTATTTTAAATGTTGAAATAGACACACACACACATATATATGAAATGTGTACAGCGTGAATATAAAGAAAAATTTTTAAATCAATTAAATAAATACCTTCAGTTACTAGATCCATAGTAGTTGCACTACATGTATCAAGAATACTAGCTGTATCCTCAACATAAGATGATGCTAAAAACAAATACGTAATATGCATATTTAATAACAACAATAATAACAATAATCTAGATAAAATGATGACAACTAACTTTCTGTCATATTGTCTACTTCCATTCTTATACGTTTATAATCTGTTCATTTTTTTAAATATATAAAAATTAACTGGTTATGTTTTGAAAATCGCTTCATTAAAAAAATACATCTTTTATTTAAAACAACAACAATGACAATACCAGTTGGAGGGTCAATTTCCATAGTTATCAATGGCGACGGCTCAACATCAAATATATTCTTCTCTTCAACTACATCTTTAGCTTGATGATTTCAAATTCAAAAATTCAAAAATTTATTTAATAAAATATTTTACATACACAAATGCAAGAAAAATATTTAAATTAACTAACCAGTCGTCTTTGATTTCGTAGAATTTTCGGGAGTTAGTGTTTGAGGTTCTAAGTAATATGTTGTATCTATTATTCCTTTTTAAATTATATTGGCATAAATTGTTAACGTGGTATTTTTTTAAAAAACAATAGAAATAATATTTATACAAGATTAAAAAAATAATGTGTACGCAAAATACCTACATACCAACCATATTAAAACCAAATGGATTTTGAGATTTTTCTATTAGTCAGTCAAAAAAATTGTTGTATTTAATTAAAAAAAAATATAAATAAAAAATACCAAAGGATTCATGCTTATACTCGGGAAATAAATTCAACAGCAATCCAATGATTGTTGAATAAAAATTATCAACATGATTATAATAACAAAAATTTTCTCCAATATATTTTACAATTTTTTCAATCATCACACTTAATGACAATTGATCTCCATCTCCGCCAATGATTTCATTAACATCTTTATTAATTATTGAAATAAATATGGCCTTTGAAATCTCATTGTCAAAAATTTCTTTCATAGTTTCAGGCAATTTAGTTGCTATATTTGTCAATAAATAAAACCCTATTAATTGATCTTCCTTACTGTAAATATTATTTAATAGAGATATGAAAAATCATGGTTGTGGTTAATTGATTATGTTTAACAATAATAACTAATAATCAAATAAATCTAATGAATAATTTGCATGATGCATACCTCATAATCCCGAAGCTACTTATATATGGCTTAATTATATGTTCTTGTGAAAAAAGCTATTAACATATACGTAAAATTTATTTTTGTGAGTAATGCAAATCTATACAGATAATTTAACTAATTCATACATTATACATTATTATTCTTACCAAAGAAATTTTAGGTAAATTTTCCTCAAGATCATAAATAACCATATAGGTGATACAGATACTAGCCTGATGTAAAACGATATCCTTTTCATTATTTGAAAAAATTGCCACGAATCCATCGTTATTTATGGTCAAATCTCTCAGTATATCAATACTATCCTTGGGAAGGTTTATAGAGTTTCTGCAACAGTTTGCCATTAGCCAAATTGGTAATGCTCGATCATTGTCAGACATAAATTCAAATATATTTTCCATTAAATGTCGAATGATATCTGTTTGTAAAATCAATTCAATACAATCAACTCTATTTGGTATAGAAAATTGTATTAAAGCCTATAAAAACAATAGTATATATATATATATATAAATATACATATATATAAATACTTGAGCAAAAAAACTTTTTTGATGAAATATATAATCAATTCAACTAGAAATTACAATATACCGCTATGATATCATTTAGATAATCCAAATCATTTGATAAAGGCTCTTTGATTAATTGACATAAATTTGGAATGGCAACTTCTCTCACTGCATTACCGATATATTGTTCAGCATTATTATCCAAGAGAATTGTCAAATTGCACATACATTTACATGCTATTGTTATTCTTTTTATGTGAGAATTATCAGGATCTGCTATTCCAAGTATTGCTTGTAAAGTCGCAATATCAATTTCTGTGCCATAGGCTGACAAGTCTGATAGTTGGGGAGGCGGAGTTCTTCTAGTCAATATTGTAGCAAGTTTACGAATAATTAAATTGTAATTCCATCCTTCAATCAAAGATATATCAGGATTTGCCAAAAAATTTGAAAATCTAGTTAATGTGTCTGTTTGTACATCCACATTGTTAGTGATTTTTGAGACTATTGATTTAATTTCTCTAAGAGTGGGAGTATTTCTTGGAGAATCGCCATTGTTATCTGTGTTAAAACGCATGTTTAATAATGGCATCGGTCGACGCATAAAAGGTAGTGGAATTTCATCTCGACTTTCAGTATTATCTCTACTGCTAGACATCTTGTTTAAAAAAATAGTTTGTATGTGTTAAAAATTAATTCTTAATCTTTTGATCAGGAAAATGTTGCACTAGTACATATAAATTTGTAACAACTGAGTATACACAAAAATATGTGTTCATTACAAAAATGGAATTAGCGATATGGCTTTAAATTGGTTGCGCCACTAAGCATTTACATTAAAAATTAGCAGTACTGCTATTATTATTGCAGAATCAATTTGCATTTTATTATTACGCACTATATATATAGATATTTAAATGCGCACGCATATGGGTCACATTTCATAGCCCATAAATTTTTCTTTCAATAATCTTTCCACTCTTGATACCTAAAAAAAGAAAAATACAATAAATTTTTTAAATAATGATAATGATGACGATGACGATGGTGGTGATGACGGTGATGGTGAGAATATAACACATTGAAAAATAGATTTATACTCAACGAATTGAGGAAATTCACGATCTTTTAATATATCACCAATCCATTCTTTTAATTGGTCATCATCAATCGGTAAAGAGTTGTCAACATTTGTCCTCGAGTGAGATAGAAGATGAGGAATTGTTGATGTTAATTTTTCTTGATGAGAAGAAATTTGTTCGTGCTGCTTTTGAAAATCTTGATTTGTTGTTCTGGTCCTTGAATTTCCAAGTAAGGTTTTATCTTGTTCTGTCACGCCTGATTTAAAGCCAAGCAAAAGATCACCATCATATTTTTCTTCATAACCCTTTTCTTCTTGTTCTTTTGCTAGTTCATTAATTGAAGTAGTGGATTGTGTCCGGAAAATTTTTGAGGGGGTGATTGGCTCTTGTTTCATTTTATGACTTGCATCATCTGATTCAGCTGGTGATATCAATTTGAGATTTGAAACAGGTAAGTTTTTTTGTGAGAT